AGGCCCTCAGGCCAAAACAAAAACAACGCGCGGGACAAAAGCAAACCCGCAAAACGACAGAAAAAAGAAAGAAAAGGAAAGAAACGAACAAAAGGAAACTGGCAAAACGACAAAAAAAAAAAGAGACGAAACAAACGAACAAAAGGGAACCTGTGTATGTCCCCATGGTCCGGAGCAGAATTCAGTCTCATACAAACTTCTGGAGCCACGCTACGAATCCGACCACGCCACGTGCGAGGCAAAAGAGGAAAAAAAAAAACGACGCCCTGGGTGTCTGCCGGGCCCATCCCTGGTGTCCCCGATTCGTTCCCAAGAGTGGCAGCCGGGCCTGGCGGGAGCGTGACGCCAGACCCGCTATTCCCTTAAAGAGAGTAAGGGAAGACTGAGCCATTCTGCTTAGAAACAATGTTAAACTCATTCCATCAGCAAGAGAAAGCATGAAGTTGGATCATTCTGCTTGGAAACAATGTCCAATTTTTGTCAGTAACCCCCCAAAAAAGCTAGGTAGCACGGGTTATCTGGCCGGATTATCGGGGGGTTGGATTATTTGGAAATCGAATAAAAAAATTACCTAAAAAAAAGTGATATTGTGCATGCAAAATGCAATAGAACTACGTTCCTATTTCATGAAAAACTTGATAGGTCATTGAAGGGTTCAAAACATAGCTACGATCCGGAACCTCGGAAAGGGATCCAGACTTTCCGGGGTCTGGCATCCGGTACCAGTTTTTGGTAACCTGTCTGGATGGGGCGCCCCCAGGCCAACAGGCAATTTTTTTTTGGGCGGCCTAGGGCGTTTTTTCATGCCCTCGGCCTCCCAAAACAAATTGGCACCATCCGGAAGAGGCAGGAAATGAACATTTGGCCCCATGTGCAGTTGGTTGGTGGGCTGTTTTGTTTTGTGCTTGGAGAACGAATCTTTCGAGGCAGCACCTTGTTTCAATTCGCGTTGTTAATAGCAGCGCTTTTCAGCGAGTTCGAGGGCGGCACGCCACTCATGTTCGAATATGTGTTTATAGTTGCACGTTTTAGCGTGTTCGGATTCAATGCACACAGATATGGAGACTTACCAGTTCTCTCTCTCTCTCTGTGTTTCTCTCTCTCTCTCCCTCTTTGACACACACAAACACAAAAAAAAAGGAAAAAAAAGTGGCAGTGTATATTTCCATGTTCTAGCGGACGATTCATTCTGATTTTGCTAATCCTATCGCTGGAAGTGGCCTCTCTCTGTCTCTCTGTGAGCATGGCTGGACAACAGTGTATATTTTTATATTCTCGTGGAAGATTCATTCGGATGTTCCTGATCATATCGATGGAAGTAGCCTCTCTCTATCTTTGTGCGTGCATGGCTGGAAAACTCTCTCTCTCTCTCTCTCTCTCTCTCTCTCTCTCTCTCTCTCTCTCTCTCTCTCTCTCTC